ATAATTTGCACCCGTTAAACTTGAGCATTCAATGGAAGAAGTCTCTTCTGATTAATTACATTTTAAAAAGGAAGTTAATTTTGGAATTGTCTTTAAGGATTCACAAATCCTTTTCTTTTTATCTTCTGCGAGCTTTTGTTTTTGTATTCCACTTAGTTGCTGCCACTTCATTTTACCTGGATGTAAATTATGTCACTTTTTAAATTTTGTTTTACCATAGCAAATAAATTTGAAAATTGAAAATGAAAAATTTATAAAATGAATTTGCATTCAAATTTGGATATTAATACACACATTTATATTTGAAAATTGGTAAGTTAAAAAATGATTTGAACATATAATTTTGTTCTTCAGGTCTGAGATAGTAAAAAAAAAAAAATACAAGGCAGTTGGAAATAATTTCATTCGTCGAGCAATGTTTGTTGGGGGGTCCTTCGCAGATTTCCACGAGTGTTTTTCTTCTTGAAATAATGCTTAAAGCTCGTGCACTTACTTTCTGTCCTTTGATGCTCCATTTTCACAGTTCACTATTTCTGATACTTGTCCAGGCCACGGCTATCACAGAACATGATACAGATGGCAGGGGTGCACTCAATTTGAAGATGTGTTTTGATTGCTTTGCACAGGACAGGACCAGATACATCATGAGTCACGTGATTATAGTGCCGTTGTTGTTGTTGTTGTTGTTTGCCATCGAGTCGGCCCGACTCATAGTTAGCAGTCAAGTGCCTTAGGCACTATGCTACAAGAGCTCCTATAGTGCCATTAGGGCCTTCTTAAGGATCTCTAGTGGTGGAATGGTTAAGGCCTTTGGCTGCTAACCAAAAGGTTGATGGTTCCAACCCATGAGCTGCTCTGTGGAAAAAAGATGAGGAAATCTGCTTCCTTAAAGATTCCCCCCCCAAAAAAAATTCACTACCATCAAGTTGGATCCTATTCATAGCGACCCCCCGTTGGGTTTCTTTAGTGCCTGTGGTGTAATAAATTACTTAGTGTGGCTTTTCTACCCATAAGTCTTTGTAAACTCCAAGGTAGGATTTTCTATGAGCAACTGAGGAGATATCCACCTGGGTTATTTCTGTTGGGCGAGGCACAATACAATGTTTTGGGAGGTTCCCACTCTCTCTCACGTGCTTAGAGTTCTGATGCTGTGATTGGCTAGTTTGACCACCCTGCCGGGCTCAAGTGGAGACCTCCTGGAGGCAGAACTCTCTGACCCCTGGTTGAGGAAGACGTGCTGCCGAAAGAGACACGCACCCCTGAAAGAGACACGTGCTGCTGGGAAAGAGACGCAAGACACACACATCGCTGAGTGAGACACCGAGGGACCAGCACTGCTGCTGGGAAAGAGACTGTGAGAGACTTTTGGCTGAGGGACGGTGGGCTGGGAGAGAGACTGAGCGTTTTTCCTGAACTTGAGTTGTAGCCTGGTGCTTCCCTAATAAACCCCATAATCTGTGAGTTCTGTGTGGCCACTGCAGTGAATTATCAGACCCAGGAGAGAGGTGGTGGGTGCTTTGGGAGGAACGGTTGGTGAAAGGGCTGGAGAGAGGCAGCATGTCTGGCCTTGCAGTAATAGGCCTTGGGTTACTGCTGGTAATTCCGTCTTCCTCTTGTGGGATTAGAGGAGGTCGGAACATGTGGCCTCCTTGCCGTTTTAGCAGTGCCTAAGACATTTGACTGCTAACCAGAAGGCTAGTGGTTCAAACCCACCAGCCACTCCTCAGAAGAAAGATTGGGCAATCTACTTTGGTAGAGATGCCATTTTGGAAACCCAAGGAGGGGGTCTCTATGAGTCCAATCCACTGGACCGCACTGAGGTTTCTTTCTTTTTTTTTTTTTTTAAATCTACGGAAGTAGATTGCCCAATCTTCCGGCTGGGGTGTTTGAACCACCAGCTTTCTGGTTAGCAGTCAAATGCTTTAGGCACTATGCCACCAGAGCTCCCTTGGAATCCCAATGCGAGTCACTATGAATTGGAATCAACTCCATGGCACTTGTTGTAACAATAGTGCCACTTTTCAATGACTAGGTTTGTTTTCCAAGTCAACAATATCAGCCAGTTTCTTAAAAGAAACTCGTTTTAAAGGGAAATGGAAAACGAAATACATTAATAAAATTTTTATTACCTGAGTATTCATTTATTTCCTCAAGGAATTCTTCAAATTTCTTTACACAGAGATACACAAATATTCTGATAAAATATAAATGCAGCGTTTTGATAAATGCCCTTTATTACTTTCTTGTAAAACACATTTAGAAAAACAGCCACTGTTGCAAAACAGAAACATGTTTTGCATAATAAATTTTTTTCATCCTCTTAATGTGCCTAATACCTCATTTATTGGCATTTATCAAATAATATCAAGCACTGTGTTCTGTGCAACAGACAATAAAAGATGAAGCTCACTTGATACTTAAAATTTTCCATGTCAAGTATTAATATTTCTAGTATTTGTTGGATGTTTGCTATGCTAGTATTAGATTATTACTCACGTTAGTAATGTATTAAACATGTGCTAGAATTTGTTGCATGAATGCCAATCGTATTTTAAAGTTAAAATTATAAATATTGTTGTTTATAATATTTAGGACATAACTCTGTACATAAATGCTATACTGTTAAAAATAATTGAATTCATTGGAATGGTCGACTTGATTTTAGTTCCCTCATTTTTGCGCAGACTCTGGGACTGATATTCCCAGTGGTTGTTTACCAGCACATTTGCAAAAGCATACCCTGTTTTTGTATCATGGCGAAGAGTATCGCTGGCCCTTCTGGCTGGAATTGCTGCATCAGCTGACATAGATGTATAAGGCCCAAAACCAGAACAAACCCACTGCCATCAATTTTGACTCATAGCATCCTTATAAGAAAGAGAACTGCCCTTAAAGAGTTTCCAAGGCTGTAAATCTTTACAAAAGCAGACTGCCTCACTCTTTTCCCATGAAGCCGCTGGTGGGTTCGAACCATTTACCTTTTGGTTAGCAGCTGAATACATTAACCATTGTGCCACCAGAGCACCTTTGATGGACAAGCCAGGTCTCTCAAAATGGATCGGAGACCTGTTGTCTATTAATACAATTTGTCCTTACTAGTTGCTCATGTTGGATCCACTTGCATATTGGGTGAGTGTAGCAAGAGTTAGACTTGATAGCCCACCCCCACGTCTTGCTTATTAGAAAGAAATAGTATACTCCTAAGAGATTGACCAAAATAAGCGATTTCATTTACATGGGAGGGGACCATAGGAGACAGATGTCAATGAAGGTGTTGTAATGGTAGGAGTCTCGTGGCTTAAACAGCCTTGTACGTGGGCATCTGTGTGACCCTTATTTCTGGCCGATACACTCTCACTGGAGCAAGTTCGTTTAGCACCCTACTAATTCCCTTCCACTGCAGCACTTGCTTTTCTATGTGTCCTCTCTTCTAGGCACCTATTGGTCTTTGCTTTGGACAATGGGTACCGAAGTTTTGTTGATGCCCTACGTATGTGTTTACCTTGTGTATTGGGTAATCCATCCCTGTGTACAACTAATAAATAAAAACAGGAATTTCTAAAATTAGACCCCCCCCCTATCTTTTAAACAATAACTTCAGATTTCATAATCTCTAAGGAGTTCTGGTGGCATAGTGGTTAAAGCATTTGCCTGCTAACCAAGAGGCTAGTGGTTCAAACCTACCAGCCACTATTCAGGGGATGGATGAGGTAGTCCAAGATTTACAGCCTTGGAAACCCTGTGAGACAGTTCCACTCTGCCCTAAAAGGTGGCTATGAATCATATCTACTCCATGGCAGTGGGTTTGGTTTGGGTAAAAATTTAATTAAAATCACAAACCTAAAATGTCACATTCTGTTAAATGCTTTAAGCACTTTAGAAAACAGAAAAGATATAGCCATAATATTGCAGTGATTATACCTAAACCAGTTACAAAGTTGATTTCAGAGATTCACTCCATAGATTTAACTTTTCCTCTTATCATTGTATGAACACTTTCTCAAAGTTCCAATTTTTCATACATTCCCAGAGTTTAGGTTGATCTACCATGTACTTTTCTAAGGAGTCGGCAAGAAAAAAGAGTGAACTTTAGATAGAGCAACAATAGGATGAATCGCAACAGCATTGAGAACGGATAGGTAAGCGCTCCCGTCATAGTATACGTGGAAAAAAGGAGAGGTCAAAGGTATCCTGGCACCCAAGGGCCCTGGCTTCTTTAAGGGGGTGGAGCCCTGCTTTTAACTCTGCTGACTACTGGGGCATTCCCGTCCAATGAGAGGGTTGGTCGGAGGAGGAGCGGCGTGACGCCATCATGCTGCGACCAGCCCTCGCCGGGTGGTGTGTCTGAACCAGATTGGGCTGAGGGATTGGTGGGGTCTCCAGACAGCTGTTGTCAGAGGTTGGTTTCGGGGCGCGCGGGGGCGGGGAGAACCCGAGGCGCCGCTTTGTGAGAGCTTATGGAGCGGGTCTATTCCTATATGGTCTCTAGGTTGTCCTCCAGGCCAGGCGGGACGGATTCAGCTTGAATTGATCTGAGAAAGAGCTCCGAGTCGAGCTCTCCTTAACTGCGCGGACCCTGGCCGCCCCGCCAAGGGCTTGCACCCCAGAGGTAGCTGGGCCATGAGCCTGTGGGCGAAGTCAGCCTAGCGGAAGGGAAGGAATCAGGGAGGCCGAGAAAGCCCCTCGTTTCTTGGTTATAGGGCCTTGAAGGTTAAATTCTCCAAGCACTCGTGTGAGTAGGCCCTGTTGTTACCCCATTTTGCAGAGAGAGAAAGAGCTTTAGAGCGCGTAAAGGTTCTGCTTTGTGGACAGCATAAAGATGGGAGGTTGGGCAGGTCCTTAAGGAGACCGTGAAATGTGTGAGCGTCTCTAAAATGGTGGTTCCAGAAGACTGACAAAAGGCTTTTGTGAGCTTGGATCGTTCCAGTGACAAAATTGACTCAGCGAGCCGTAACGACACATTCTTAAACTTTGAATTTTGCTTTTCAGGTGGTCGAAGCCACACAATGTCAGTAGTGCGTTCATCCGTCCATGCCAAATGGATCGTGGGGAAGGTGATTGGGACAGCGATGCAAAAAACTGCCAAAGTGAGAGTGACCAGGCTTGTTCTGGATCCCTACTTACTAAAGGTGAGGTGCCTCCCAGTGTTTCGGTGGCCTGGACGCAGTGGCTGCAGCCATGGGCCCAGGTATAGCAAGTATCGTGAGGCTGGTGCGGGATCGGGCAGTGTTTCACTCTGTTGTACATGGGGTGGTGATGAGTCGGAGCCCACTGGAGGGGACCTGACAACAACATGGGTAATCACAGTGAGAAAGGCCGGCTCATCTGCTCGGGTCGAGTCAGAAGGGACCCCTTCTGGAGAAGGACATGGTTCTTGGTAAAGCAGACAGTCAAAGGGGGAAGACCTTCAGCAAGATGGATTGACACTGCCACAGTGGGCTCAAGCATAGCATGGATTGTGAGGCTGGCGGAGGACCGGGCAGTGTTCTGTTGTACACAGGCTCTCCATGAGTCAGAGCTGACTCGACAGCGCTAACAACATGGGTAGTGAAGTTTTAAGCATCTGCTATGCATTGTCTTGGGCTGTGGGTACACTTGTGAGCTAGTCATGATCTCCACGGCTTTCCCAGGAGACATCGCTCACCTAAAATTGATCTGATGACTGCTGTAGTTGTGCAATGAAGCCTGGGAGAGCCATACTTAACAGGGCTGCCTTGTTTTTCCCAGTTTTTGAAGATTGCCACCTTTGACAGGATGCAGTCTTACCACTCTTCCATCACTCATTTTAGTGGAAAATGCTTGAGTTTTCCTTCTCTGACAAGTTTTTGCCTTACACAGATTCCAGCTTTCCCAAGCTTACTGTATATGCAGAGTACTGTGTGAGCAAACTATAAGATACATCATTTTTTCCTCCCAGAGCTGGAGAATAGCCTTCTCTATTAATGACATTTCAGCTGAATCTTAACCATCAAAAGGCACGGCGTTTTGCCATAATAGCAAGTGGTTCACAAGGTTGGGTGCAAAGCTTAGCAGTTGGTAGGCACCCTTGTTGAGTGAATGGTAAGGACAATCAGAGCTGGACTGTGACATGTCTTGTGTGTTGCGTCCTCAAGTTTGAAGTTCATCTTACAAGCAAAGGAAAGACAGACCTGGAGATGTGAGGATGGGGGCTGGAGGTAAGGAAGTCAGTAAGGAGGCCATTGCAGAAGGTCTGGGATGGAAATGAGGACCTGAACAAACATCAGAATCATGAGGGTAGAGCAACAAGAGTAGATTTTGGGAGAAAGGGACGTGAGTTAGAGGTACAGAGGAGGGAAAAGAAAGTGCCTTCTGTATTCCAGCATGGCCACTGGGGTAGGTAGAAATGCTATTGGTTATTGAGGATCAGAAACACAAGAGCAGGCTGAAGAGGGAAGGAAGGTGTGTTCATTGGCCTTGGCATCAAGAGATGTGAGTTTGAACACTGATTTCGCATGTTATGTGACCTCCCTGAGCCTGTTGTCCTGTCTATAAACTGGGGCTACTGGTACCTCCACTGCAGGGGGGTTAAGAGACAGGTGGTGCTCCTTACCATTTGTGACCTGTTTTCCTTACTTTGGGCCAAGCTCATGGCCAAGTGCTTTATGTACATTATGACGTTTGATTCTCTTGATAGCTTTAGAGGTGCAGGTGTAAGAGCTTTGTTTTACGGTGGAAAAAACTGAGCTCAGAATGGTTAAGTGACTTGTTCCAAATCTCACGCCGTGTGATAAGAGCATCGTGTTGATAAGCCGAGAGGAGGCTCCAGTGGGAAGGGCACGTTTAAACGTTGTAGGGAGAGGTGATAATTGAAAGAACAAGGCTCTTTTTTTTTTCTTCTAAATTGTGATTTGGGTGAAAGTTTCCAGAGTAGATTGTGTTGCCATTCAACAGTTCATATGTGTTTTGTTTGGTGACATTCACTGCAGTCCCCATAGAACAGGGCTCTTGGTGGGGATGGGCTGGGAGCCCAGGAAACGCTGTGGCTGTTTTCCAGAAACCAAGCAGCCAAGTGTCAGACTTTCTTTTCCCAAGTTCTCCCTCGTGTTTCCCGCATCACCCCTTCGTATTCTGCCCTGCGTTGCCAGATCACAGACGGGAACTCCTGACCGGTTCCTCTCCTTCTCTCGACAGTATTACAATAAGCGAAAGACCTACTTTGCTCATGATGCCCTTCAGCAGTGCACGGTTGGGGACATTGTGCTGCTCAAAGCCTTACCTGCGCCACGCTCCAAGCACGTGAAGCACGAACTGGCCGAGATTGTTTTCAAGGTTGGAAGAGTCATAGATCCAGTGACGGGAAAACCCTGTGCAGGTACCGCCTACCTAGAGAGTCCGGTTGGCTCCAAGCCTACCCAGCTCGCGCATCTAACGGAACATCTAGAAGAGCTCACCATCTCCTCAGCCCAGTAAAGACAGAGTGGAAGGAGCTGCAGGAGGAAAAGAGTTAGAAGTTTGTGTTTTGGAAAAAGAAACTTTTCTAAGTTTTATCACACACTGTATCCAGATTCTCTCTGCTGTTTGATGAAATAGCTAAAAGCAACCGAAGTGAAGGGCTTGTTGTAATTTTTCATAAAGGTGTATTTTCGTGAAGGCTCTCTTTTCTTCTCAGTGACCGTACTTTCCTGTGAAACTGAGTGTCCCTAGCAGTCCACGGGGTCATTGTTTCAGAAGGTGTATTTTTTCATTCTAAGGAACTTTGGACTTACCTTAGAACCTTTATTTGGGGAAGAGAAAGACTTTTTATGTTGTAAACCAGTACAGCTGCTTTTCATAGCTATTTTCAGTGATATAGATTTAATTTTTCCCTCTTCTTTCACCCAAGGACTACTCAATAAAGGAAGTAGTCAATGTGCCTGTGGTCAGATTTGATCAGATTCAGCTGTATTAATAAAAATGTCAATATGTAGAAAATTTTTGAAAATTTTCACAACACTCTTCTTACACCGTCACTCCTAAGCTAGTTTCAATAAAACCAGGAGCAGTGGCTGTCAAGTGGAACTGGGCTTCAGGGGATTCGCAGTGGCTGATTGTCAGAAGTAGATTGCCAGGTCTTTTTTCTGAGGTGCCTGTGTATAGAATTGAACCACCAACTTCTCAGTTTGCAGCTGAGCCAATTAACCTTTTGCATCACTCAGGAAGTCCCAAGACTTTAAAGAAAAATGGAGCTATATAATTCAGTTTTCTGGTTTCTAAAAAGAGGTTGGGATCATACCTGAGCCTCACCTACCATGTGTACTGTACAATGATGATGACAGGTGCTGTCCGCCCTCTTGGTACCCCAATCTGGAGCTAATGGCAGATTGCATGGGTGCTTGTGGGTGGGGAAGAGATTAGGGTCCTTCCCAGCAGAGTGAGAGGGTGCTCAGTCTTAAAAAGCCTCCAGGCTAAGGGAGAGGGGCTGGGGGAGGTGTGGAAAGGGCCAAGGAAAGGGAGTGTAAGGTTCTTGACTTTGACAGTGACCACAGGAGGGATTGCTGGGGGTGGAGCTCAGGTACAGAAAAAGGCAGGAGTTACATTGTGGGTAATTGGGGACTATTTAAAGAGAGAATGATACTGAATTTCAACAAAGGTGATAGGATATATCCCTGGAGGGAGTGGACTGGAAGGAGAGGAATTAGTGGTCCAGAGACAAGACCTGTTCAAAGGCTGTGGTCCTAAGCCCTGAGCTAAGTTGGGCAGGGAGGATGAGGAGGGTATTCTAAGAACTATGGGGGCTTGACACCAGGGTGGGTGAGCAGAAGGGAAGAGTCACACAGCGAGGGCGCCACCCAGGGACTGTGTTCAAATGCTGCTCTAGTCAGACAACCGCTCATGTCCAGCGCCACAGTGACTTTCGCCTCCAACATCCCCCACCCTCTGGGGAGCAGAGGCCGCCACACAGCCCCATCCCAAGGGCATTTTCCTTGGCCTCTGCAGCTTGGGACTGGTAGCCCACTCCCCGTTGACTGTGACCCTACTCCGGCTTCTACCTCCCTCTCCGGGTCTGGCTCCCTTTCTGCCCTTCTTGTCTTGGTTGCAGTCTTTCAGGGTTACACCAGTGGCTCATGTATCTTCCCTCAGGGAAGAGTTTCTGTGAACACTGAAATTGTTCCCTCTCAGGAATGCCCTTCCTTCTGCCACTGGTCAGCTCTTCCTGTGGGGACAGAGCTGAGGGCCGGCGCCTCTGGGAGCTGTCTTCTGGTCCGCCCTCCTCTTCCCAGCTATGCCCCGCCACCCCCATGACAGACACTTTCTTTGCATCTGTGAACCCTCTCCATTTGAACACTGACACACTGGATCTGATCACCGGTGCATATCATGTCCCTACTAGACAGGCTGCATGAAGGCAGAAAGAGACTTCGTGTGCCCCTCAGTGAAAGAGACCCCTCAGTGCTGAAATGAACGGGAACAATACCAAGAGACTGCGAGAGAACTTGAGTATGTTTCCACCCCGAATACGTTTATTAAAGTGTTATTTATAGTTAAAAAAGGTAATTCATTCACAGGACCTGGTGGTGCAATGATTAAGCACTCAGCTGCTAACCAAAAGCGTTGGAACCCACTCAGCCCTCTGAGTGGGACAAAGATGTGGCAGTTGGCTTCTGTAAAAATCACAGCCTTGGAAACTCCATAGTGATGCTCCCCACTCTGTCCTGTAGGGTCACTATGAGTCAGACTCTGGTAACGGGTTTAGTTTTTGTTTTTAATGTATTCACATGATACAGTCCCTGGATGGTGCAAGTGGCCTTAGGCTGCTGAGAGCTTGGAAGTTCAAGTCCCCCCAGAGGCGCCTGGGAAGAAAGGCCTGGCAGTCTACTTTTCAGGAATGAGCCATTGAAAACCCTCTGGAGCGCCGTTCTATTCTGGCGCACATAGGGTCGCCCTAAGTCAGGCTCTCTAGGCAACCAGTTTTAACAAAATTCAGAGGGTATTGGGGGAAGCCCCACCCACAAGTGCCCCCCAGGCCCTGGGTTCCCCCCGGGAACAGTGCACCTCTTGTCTCGTGAATCCTTGCACACACATTCAAGCAGGCCCTTGTGCCTTTGCGCACCCTGCTCTGCGCACCGACCTGCTTTCGCCAGACTCCCCTCGCGCTTCTGGTCGCCTCCCTAGCCCAGCGCCCCTCCCAGGCCCCGCGCCCCCACGCCCTCCCGCCGCG